TTGTCCCAACGAGTCTTCTCAATTCTCGTGGATGTGCTCCTGCTGATGTCTCCAATTTCAGGTGGCTGTTTGACTGGTAGTGGGTATTTACCATGTTTATGTTATTTCTTCACCTTTAATGGTCAGGTCTGGACTTCCCCCAACTACCGATAAGGTTGCAACTGCAAATGTTGTTGATAGCTGACTTCATGCCCCTAGATATCGGGTTTTGGTATGTTTCTCTGACTTGACTAACTCACACTTTATCTGCAACTGGTCAAAATGTGTCGTGAACTCCTCTACTGATAGGTTTCTTGGTTGCAGGTGGAGTCTCAGAAACATATCCTGACCGTAATGACGCGGTAGCTATTTTCTCCGCATTTCCTTCCTCATCTTCTCCCATCTAGTAATTTTGTCACTGTACTCTCTCTTTCTTTGCTTTTGCAAAATTTTCCACCATAAGGAGGTGTTTTTTCTTAATTTGATGGTTGCAAGCTCCACCCTTTTATCTTCTGATATTTCTTGTATTCGTAGATCCTATCAACTAATTGTTGCCATTCAATGAAATCTTTGGGGTCCATAACTTCATCGAACTTCGATAAATCCACTTTTGTTCCAAAATCTCCATGCCCCACATATGTTGCTTTTTCTCTTGGGCTCTTCCGGTAATGAATTTCGAAGCGCTGGGGTTTATCTTCCTCATCACTGAAGTCTTCTCTATGGAAAGGATTTAGATCCTTCTTCCTTTCTCCTTTTGACTTTCCACATCACGGTCGAGAGTAATCTTCCATTGGGTTCCTTCATCTATCTCTACAAGTATCTCCTGAAGTCGACGAATCTCTCGCTGCATACTTTTTTCAGGTAGATACCATAATCTGTCTCCTTGGTAGCATGGTTAAAGTTTGGGAACTGGAAAAGGGTTTTTAGGGATAGGAAATAAAATTTTTAGAGTGAAGATGGTATGAGTGTGGTTGATGCTAGGAATCCCTAGCATAAAACTAGAATTAAGCCAACTTTGATACCAAATGATACCAGATTTAACCCAAACAATAACAGAAAAATCAATATTATTGTTGAATTAAATCAGGAAAATTACAATCGACTCACGAAAACTGAAATTGCAACAATTGATAACACAAACCCGAGCTTAGGTAAGTCCTATGGGATGATGGTGGTGGTGATTGACGAAGATTTGGGCCTCCTAATTTGTATAAAAGGGCAGTTAAGGAGTGGGATAGTGGGTCGGTAGAAAAAAGGGGATGTGGTTGGCAATGGTGATGATGTAGGATGACCGGAGTGTAATACCCAAGTATTGTATATTTGGGAATTAACCATAATATTTCTGAGTGTATTTTATTGATATAGCTTAAATATGTTCAATAAGATGTATTTATATTTTATTTTTTCCTTTAAATCATTTTCAAAATATTTGGTTTCAACTGCAAATTTCATATAAAAGCTTTTATATCTTGAAATTTACAACGCAAAAAATTTTGAAAAAATAATCATAAAGTATGTTATCATTTTTAGGATATTGGTAAAATCTGTTAGCAAAACGGATATCAAATGACTACAAAATTAAATTAATACCCACATGTACATTTCTTAAAAAATTACAATTGCACCATTAATCTTATAATTTTATATTTATCAGAAAAATATAAAAAAATCATCGTAATTAAAGTTAGTAATTTTCTATATTTAGTGAAGACGGTTTATAAATTAGGCTTATAACGAAGTCATAAATTTTTTACCATATTTTACAGTTCAAAGTTTTTTTTTATATATTTGTCAGTATTTATATTTTATTTATTAACCAAATTTTTTGAAACTGATTTAAAGACCAAAATAAAATAAAAATGTGTTTTAATGGACATGTTTAAGAATATATTAATAAAATATACGCACTTTTATTGTGGTTGATTCTTGAGTATTAAAATAATTTAAATGCCAAGATAAAATAAAATGCATCTTAATGGATATATTTAAGCATATATTAATAAAATACACGCTCGACTATTGTGGTTGATTCTCATATAAACAATACTTAAGTATTACAAGGAGGAGGTGAAAGAGGGTGCAAGGATGTCTTGCCTTGCGATGGTAGCAATTTTGAGTGCTGCAGATTGCAGAAAGGCAGCGAGCGACCTATCCTCTGTATGATAGAAACAAGTCAAGGGGTTGGCTGCAAGGGCAACAGATCGCGAGAGGAGGGGTGGTAGGCAATTGTAGGAAAACATCAACATATTTGTTTTCCAGTGTTTGCAGCAAACACGGTGGTGGCGATAGCGGTGGGAGGGTTGCGGGGAAGTGGGAAGGTTGAGGATAATTACCACCTTAGATGAGTATAGTCGAAGCACCACTCGTCGTCAAATACAAGCCTAGAAAGGAAAAGTTGGACGCCGACCATTGTCCGGACAAAAATCTGAGCAAAAAAACTGAAAGCCTAAAGGCAAAAAACACATATATATATGGCCTCTTTAATTAGGATTAAATCATCCTATAGAATGGGGGCATCAATCCATCGTGGGAGAGTCGATCTGCCCTCTTGGGCCGGTTCAGTTCGGTGAAGACGAAGAACACTGTGAAAGAAGCACACGGCTCCCTCAACACCTTGCCCATGACTTTGCACAGCGCGCCTGCGCCGTGCTTGATAGAAACTGCAATAAAACAGTAACGTGGCTGTTTTTCGGTGGCTGCAGAAAATACGACAGTGGCAGTAGTGGTGTGGGAAGGTCGAGGATAATCACTACTTTAGACAGCTGTTTTTCGGTGGCTGCAGAAAATACGACAGTGGAAGTAGTGGTGTGAGGCTTGTAGGGGAGTGGGAAGGTCGAGGATAATCACTACTTTAGACGAGATACAGTTGAATCACCACTTGTCGTCAGATACAACATTAGAAGGGAAAACTTCGACGCCAACCACTGTCCGAACAAAAATCAAAGCCAAAAATTGAAAACTTATATACAAAAATTACATATATTTGCCCTAGATAACAAGGATTGGTTCTCCTGATGGAAAATGGGGCGTCAATCTCTCATGGGAGAGCCCATCGGCTCTCTCGATCCGGTTCGGTCAGGATGAGGGTCACAGTGGGAGAAGCCCGCAACTACCTCAACACTGTGTCCGCGCCGTGCTTGGTGCACTTGCATCAATAATAATAAACAATAATTAGAAGGAAAATTATTGAATGAAATAAAATACTTACTTTAATATGAAAAGAATAATATTAATAAGTTAATCTGGATTTATAGTAAGTATAAATAGATGAAAATCTAATGCTTAAATAATGTATTTTTAATAAACATTATAAGAATAATAATTTAATCAAGTCAATGTAATAAAAATAATAAAAATAAAGATTAATTATCATCTTAATGTAATTAAAATTTATTATTTTGAATATATGTTTACTGTAGGCATCAAATTAGAGGAGACAAGGTCCAAGACAAAAAAAAAAAAAAAGGACAAAGTTACATGATATATAGTTAAGTATTTATGCTTTTAAATTATGATAATAATGTTTATGTTTCTTCTAAGCCAACTACAATTGACGATTGTTTAGATAGATTGATATTGTATATTTAATTTTGATTTAACTCCGTTATTAATTATATTGGTCATGTTGTAATGTACGCGCTTCTTTCATCATATTTACATTTATTTATTATATATATTGATATTGGATGATATGAAAAATGTGAATCAATGAATTATATATATTGCTTTTATGGTCATGTTAAATATGGAATTCACGCATTTATAGAGACGCTAAGATACCCAAATATGTAAATTTAAAAAAAAACTGATATTGATTAACCTTGTTGGTATAATTTTAGACGACGCTGTTCTGACAGCTGTAAATGACATAGATAATATAAATTACTGTAATGTACAATTGAGAGTTCTAAATTTTACTGAATGACTATAATTGAATAATAAGATGTCAGTTTTTTGAATATTTAACTAGCAAGCATGTTGTCTTTTTTTTTTTCGTTAGATTACTATGATTAGAAAGATGAGTATTCATTGTTGGTTAAGATTTCACTATAATGTTAAATTAACATTTTTAGGTTCAAGTATAGAGAAAAAAATGAACAATACAAGAGAAACTGTTTAGAGCAGACGAATTCATGTATGAGAAATGTTATTCTACTCACAACTATTATTTGTTCAAGCTAGAAGTAGATTTTATTCATTAATGGTTTTTTCGATTATTTCATATGATTAAATGATAGTTTTAGAAAATGAAATTAAACTTTTATTTCACCGTCTCATCATCTATTCTCGTTTTGGAAATTCTAAGCCCCTGGGCTGATTCCTGATAAAATTTGTGAACTCATATATAAATATATGGATATAGGACTTCAAAAAAGATGAAATTTTATCATTAGTTTTGATATCTAAACTTTTTGAAGAATCAAAGCCCATACAACCGAATATGGTTGATGTTTGACGGTTAAGTTCTTACCAATAGATTTAGCTTATAATAATTGTGTTTATTAGACAATTCAATGTTTATGGAATGCTAACGGTTAGTCACTACTTGAAGAATTTTTCTTAGAATAAATCATCTCTCTTTAAATAATTATGTATGACATTGTGAGATTTGCACACTTGCGATGCATTGTTCAAACCTCTTTAAGGATTTTATTATTCACTTCCTATTAGTTTGCTTGGTATTTACTCATCATGCATGTGTATAGTGATCTTGATATCTAACTATCTCATTTCCTCCATTAACCTTGCGAAAATCTGACTTCATTCTTGACTAGTGCCAGGATTGCCGATTATGTGTACATTCTTTCCAAAAATATTTGATGCATTAAAATATTCATTCTGTTGAGTAAGTTGCGGACATTGTTATTTGTCAGAGTGGATAAATTATTTATGGAACTTTCTTAATCAATCTGATATTTCATATTTGTAGTATCTGCATGCACCTTCTACATTTTACATGCCCGTCAAATAATCTTACCCATACATACTCACTTTTCCATCTGTGTTTCTATTTTAGGCATTCCTTACGGTACTGCCTGTGGACGATATGTCAGATGATGATGACTTTTTCATGATAGGAGGCAACTCAATATCGGCTGCTCATGTGGCATATAATCTGGGAATTGACATGAGGTTGCTTTATATGTTTCCTAGCCCATTTAGGATTCTAAAAGCTTTGTTGGATCAGAAGCAAATTGGAGGATTTTCTACTTCCGATGCCATATTGGAAAAAAGACTAAGAGCAGATAAGGGCAGGAATATTTCGTTTGAAATAACAAGAGATTTTTTGAATAAGAATTCACTCGGAGAGCGAGTGAAGAATAATACTAGAACAAGGATTGATGATCTCGTGAAGCTTAATAGGAGTCAGATAACTAATCACCCTATAAAGATTGAAAGATTGGCATCTTGGGATGAAACTGGGAAAATGACATCTTTTCATCCCAGTCGACATGAAGATGATCCCTGGCTATCTATTTGTGGGCTTTCCAAAATGTGTTCATTTAGTCGTTGCAACTTAACTGTGTTAGGATCTGAAGGTTTATTAAAACCCAATTTTCAAGCTTGCTTACCTTTTGAATTGTCAGTGCAAGGAAGGGGCCATATACAGGAATTGTGGAAGGTCTTGCTAGAGTCATGCGTAGATTCTTCACCTGTTGTCATGTTGAAAGACGGCGATGTTTTCCTTTTCATTGGTTCCCATTCACAAATATTTCTTTGCATAGATGCTTTTAGGTACTTTTCCCTGATACATTTCTATAATGATTTTTTGGTTGATGTTGGTAATCCTCATTATTTTCTAGTCAGTTGTTTTCTCATTCATCAATGAAGCTTGAAAGAGTGCGGAAGAAGAGAAACCATTGATAATTTAGTTGGAGCAATTTGCACATATAATTTGGATCTTGAAAAGAATCAATTGGGCACAAATAATTTCAGTTAGTCAAATTTTAATGAAAATTATTTGCCTTTAATTCCTATATATAGAAATAGTTACATAAAGAAGTTCAATGAAATGCAATCTAATTCTTTCGAATACGAAAAAGATTTCAATCTAAGTATATTTTTATCCAAAAGAAGATAGTTATCTAATAAAATAAATTAATTTAAAGAAATAAAGGTAATTTGACTGTAACATAAATGGGCCTAGAAGGTTTAGAAATGGGCTATATTGTATGATTTGACTTTTGGTGGTAAGATATGGTGGTTTTGGCTTTTTTGGCTTTTTTGGCATATTTGAAAGATGATATTGTGTAGTTTCTCTGGGGTGCAACTAACTATACTACGAAGTGTTAAGTGTAACGGTCCCGTTTCAGTTACCTAGGAGAGATGAAGCGAAAACCTATAGAAGGAGAAACGAGGATTCAGGGAAAATAAATGGAGGGGAGAGGAAATGAAAAGGATCGGAAATCAAAGAGGTTAGTTCTTCTTATAAATTGACGTATCAGATGGGAGCTCTCGGGCATGCAGCTAGAGAGCAGAGGAAGGAATGAGAGGTGTTGAGAGTTTTTCTTCCCCGGGGATAATACGTCGTGCTTTGCGCTCGAGGGAAGAAGAGGATTGTCGATTTTCTTTGCTGCGTTGAGCGACGCGTGAAGGAGTGAGAGGTGTTGAGAGTTTTTCTTCCCCGGGGATAAGACGTCGTGCTCTGCGCTCGAGGGAAGAAGAGGATTGTGGATTTTCTTTGCTGCGTTGAGCGACGCGTGAAGGAGAGGTGGACGAAGTAGGAGGGGGCCGAAGCGTTGGCCACATGTGGATGGAGCCTTGAGCCGAAGGAGAAAAGGGAAGAGAGGCTCTGTCAAGCAGGAAAAGGGTGGGCTGCTCGCGTGCAATCTTGAGCCGAAGGAGAAAAGGGAAGAGAGGCTCTGTCGAGTAGAAAAAGGGTGGGTTGCTCGCGTGCAATCGAAGGAGGAAGGAGACCAGTGCATGTGGATTAGGGCTTGATGAGGTAAACATAAATAAGTTGAAGTTCATTGATTTAATAATAAAGTAGTAATATATATAAAAATATATTAGATCTGTGTGTGTGTGTAAATAGAAAACTTAAGTAGGATTACCTAGTAAATAAAGAAAATTTTATACTTTAAAAACATAAAATTAATAGCTAATTAAAAATATATAAATTAAAAATGACATAATAAATAAATTAAATTTCTGATAACATGAATCCCATGTTTATTTTAGGTTTTCAATTTTAGAAGAGTCGTTAAAATAAATAATAAATTAATCGAGAGAGAGAGAGATGAGTACTTGTTTATTTAATCAATAGTAATAATTTGTTTCTTCTCAACTATTTTGTAGTTAATGACGTTTGCATATGTTTAATTCTGATTGAGATGGTCTTTTCTTTATCAGTCATATTGTTATGAATATTTGTAGCTACTTACTATTATGCACTGTTATATGCTTTATATAGTATGCTAAATTGAATGCGATGAACACATGAATGATATATTTATATTGACTGCTTATATGTGCATGATTGATTATGATGAAGTCACCCATTTATGAAACTAGTAAGGGAACATTAAGGTACCCGTGCTCGCATATGTAAAAGGATTTTGATATTGAAGTGCTTTAATTGATATAATTTTTAAGATAATGCTTTTATGATGATTGTACATATATAAAATGATATTGATATGGTAAGATTTATTGAATAATATATTAAATATTTATATTGATTTATTAAAAAGCTTAATTGACACGCATAATATTTTTCTTTTCTCTTGCATTATTATAGTTTAGGAGTATGAATATTCGCTGACTTATTTAGCTCACTGTTATTCTAAACTAATTTTTCAGATTAATTTAATTGATTAAAAGATGAACGATAGAAGATAAAATTTTTGTAGAAGACGCGGACAACCAATGATGAGATAAAATTAATTTTACTATTTTATTTTAATTTGATTTGTGATTCTTTTAATTGTTGAATTATAAATATATATGGAAAAAATTAATTCGCACCGTCCGACTGTCTATTCTCATGATTAATTCTAAGCCCCGGGTTGGTTTATGGCATTAAGATTGTCATCTAGTGTCACGACTTGGCTTAGGGATGAGAATTAACATTGGCGAGAACAAACAATTGGATGGTATAAATAACATTGCATCTGTTTATTATCATAACGTCGAATTTATAAAAGAGCCACCAAGAAACCACTAATTATATTACATAGAAAATCAAATCATTCATAAACATTAACACAGTCTCTAAGTAAAATAACATCTCAAATCAACACACAACATTAACACAGTCTCTAAGTAAAATAACATCTCAAATTAACACACAACAGTATATCCCTAGTATATCCCTACTCAAAAGTAAACAATACAATAATTACAATCATAATACACAATATACTACCTATCATGAGTATGTCTTCGCTTGTAAACCATATCTCGCATGTCAGTCATATCAATTTAATTTTTTTCTGAAATCAACTATTAATTTTCAAGAATAAGTTGCATTACTTAGTAATTACAAAATTTTATGCATTTAATTAATATGCAAATGCTATACATGGATGCCCCCAAAAAAGAAATTTATGGATAAATGAAACTATATGCTTTTATTTTTAATTTAATCATTTCCTTTTCAATTTAAGTATTTACCTTTTTTTTAATCTATTTAAGAAGTCATATCTGGATTATCGTCATTCTCCAAAGTATGATCAAAATATACCCGTTGGTACCCTTAAAAATTTGTACTCATTGACACCCATGAAATTTTGTATCCTTAGAGACACTTTTACCACTTTCTTTTTCGTGCACGTGTATATCGTATCCCCTGCCAGTACCATCTGTGGTAATCATAAATGATTTAAATATTTACGTTTCATTTTTTATAATTACCTCCTTTTAAAATCATGGAACAATCATTTACCTTTTTTATCATTTCATTTTATTATTTCAATAATTCTTTTAACTTACAACTTGCATATAATTATAAAAGTAAGCATCTGAAGCAATAATGCAAGTTTTTATTTAATAAAACATCAATTTATTATGTATAAGAAAGTAATGGTTGACATTAAGTTTGAATCTTTCTCTTTCCCCCTTAAAATTTGATTTGATTTGACCTTTATTCTTCAGCTGTTTAATAATTTAATAAAATATTGATGTTATATGATTGAGGCATTTCCTTTATAAGTAATTGAAGTAAACATCAACTCGATTTATCTTATTCTGCAATCTAGAGTTGGAAACAAACCTGCCTTCTTTTTTCCTTTAGTTCTATTGCCTATCCTGATTTAATCACTAAAATTCAATGATAATGTTTCAAATCAGTTTAATAACAACTTTAAATAAAATTTCCTAAACAAAATATAACCTAACCTTAATATGTGGCTTGACTCTCCCTTGTTCGCACGTGCTCCCTCCTACAGAAAACCTTTCATTATCATGCGAGGCTCGGCTTCTTATCCGAAAGGGCGCGTAAGCTTCTTTCCTTCCTTTGAGTTATGCTCCACTCCGACACAGTATGACGAGGTCACCTTTGACTAGGGTTTCCTCCACCCTCCTACAAAAAATAAGATACACACTTCACCGCTACATGGGTTCCCATTGTAACAACCCCACTAAACGTACGGTTCAACTTCTCTTCAAGCGCGGGCTAAATACCACTGAATTTAAATTTTTGGCGGTTGGCACTGCCTGCAACGGAAGGACAACTTTGTTGCTTAAAAAATTTTACTAGGATAAAGTATGGAAAAGGAAGCAATCATTGGATAGATTACTACATCTAATTTTTCAGTCCACCAGTTCTTCAAAGCATCTATTGTCCGCTTCACTGGATCCCAACCCAAGCCTGTGGATCTTCGTTTTAATTCCTTCCGTATTTCCAATCACATATAAAGGTTATCAGTGAGATGATATGGATTAGCTTGATCGAGATATGTATACATACACATATGCAGACATATATATGTATATATATATATATATATATATACATACACATATATACATCTGCTCTGCTAGGTTTTTGCCCGATGGCAATTCCTTGGTTTGAATCCTTCGGCTTTCAATGAATCATTTCTGTCGTGCTCGACGAGGAAGGTTTTCCGTGCTCAACGACGAAGGGCTTCTCTTCTTCGGCTTTTTGCACACGTCATCTTCTCCTACGCGCCATCATTTCGTTTTGCCCAACGTGAAGGGCTTCGGTGTCGTCTTCGTTGAGCTTCGTCGAGGCACCCTTTTCTGCGGTTCGTGTCTTCTGCGTGGCTTTTCGTCTGTCTTTGTGGACCTCGTCGAGCTACGACTGTTTCACAGCTTTGCCATCTGCGGCTTCGCCCCGACTGTCTTTGACACGTCATTTTTGCCCTCTGTCCGACTTGGCAGGGCTTCTCCTTGCTGTGATGAAGCTTTCTTCTTCTTCGGTTGAACCTGACAAAGCCTTTTTTGTCCACGTGGTGGGTAACTCTTAGGTGGAGACTGCGGTTGTCTTTTCCTTAAGTTATAAAGAGTATCGTGATGATATAGGTGACTGTCCCTTTATTTAAAATGCAAGCAGGAAAAATGAGAAAACAACACCTTTTTTCTCTGAGTTAAAAATTTCAATCCTAACTGAGAAATTCAAGTTTGTTCTTACTGAAAAATTTCCATGGGGGCACCCACTTATGAGAGTTATCAGGAAAAGTTTTGATTTCAAATTAGCAGGAAAGTGGAAAATGGAAAGAGGGACTCATGGATGAGAGACATGTATTGATTCAACTAACATTGATTCAATTAATCATGACTGAAGACTACACTCAAATTTTCTCCAAAAAATACTTAACATTGATGACAAATCAATGAAACTACTCAAGTGATCTCCTGATTTTGACCCTAATCATGAACTTCCTACTGTATCCGTATTATTTAATCTACTAGGTCTCAAACTACACTTTTTTTATCATCAGGTTCTTTAGTCTATTGGAGTCATACTTGGGGACCCTATGAAGCTCAGACCTTCTGTGGCCAGAATACTTGTGGAAAGAAATATTACTTTACCTGATGTTACTGAAGTCTGGTTAGGCACTACTCATAATGGATATTAACAACAAATCGTCATGGAGCATAAACCTCTTTATTGTTCTCATTGTAAAATGTTTGGGCATATCCTTGATAAATGTCATAAGCTTCATCATAATTTGAAACTTAAAGATCAAGTGAATAATGATGGATCTAACCTCACTGCTCTGGACATATCTGTTCCACTGGAGTGAAAACTACCACAAGACAAGATTTGATGTCTGATTTAATTGCCCCTGTGAACCCTCCCCTGAAAATACTATTTCTGCGATTGATGAGAAACTGGATGGCCATGCGGAGCAAAACCCTATTGAAAACAGTTTTGAAGGACCCCTACCTACACGGATTGATAATCAGGAGAACCTTGCAGCTCCCGATCTTCAGGAAGTGTCAGAAGTAGAGGCGACAACTCATACCTCACACACACTTGAACCTCTTGAGGGTACAACTGTTGGCAATCTTTCTACTGCAACACTGCCATCTCATCTGAATGAGCAACAATCTTCGGATAAGGAATGACAGGTCTACACTTACAGGAGGAAGAAGAAGAATGAAGATCTACTTGAACTAAAAAATTTAATGGATGATACTTTGGTTACATCGGACAATGGTATGCACCTAACCAATTTATTAGCTGGCTCCCTTCCGAGAACTAGAGGCAGAGGCATAACTAAATTGGGTCGTCCAGATTGATTTTATATGTACCATCTATTTTTGGGTTTTTAAATTTCTTTTTTTGTGTGTTGTATCGTGTGAGTTGGGTGTCTTTTTGGGCCCACTAATGTTCTTTTTTTGTGTGTTGTATCGTGTGAGTTGGGTGCCTTTTTGGGCCCACTAATGCAACCTATCTATACCATTTTCTCTTTAATATAATTGCCCTTAAGTTTTTTAAATACACACACTATCTGTACCATTTTCTCTTTAATATAATTGCCCTTAATTTTTAAATACACCCACACAGACACAGACACAGACACACACACATATATATGTATTTTTTATTTTTATTATTATTTTTTTAAAGAATGGCCGGAGGCTATGATGCAAGCCCCCACCTGCCCTCATGTGCCCAACGACTCAATTTTTTTTAGCTTCTGATTTTTGTTAGCTTTGATTAGCTTAAAAGGATTTGTTTGTTGCTCAAACTTGAACTTAGTCCGACTATGGTTGGTGGATAAAATTTTTTATAGTTTCAATGCTCTTCATAATTTGACTGAACATTGTCGATAATAAAATAATGTTTTCATTGATGAATAGTGGATTGGTACGGTGGCAAGTCATTCTGGAAGGACGTATTGAATGCTCAGCAGTAATTACAGGAGACTTCTCTCAGGTGTGTGGCTATAAACCCAAATTTACTAAACTCTCATCAAATTTGTTCATTATTGTTTTCATCTATTTGCGGCACTTGAATCTGAATTGTAGTTAAGCTTATTGCATGTTGTAGGTTGTTGTGGGATGCTACAAAGGAAAGATTTATTTTCTTGATTGCACTACTGGGAGCATATTGTGGGCATTCCAAACCTCTGGAGAGGTACAATCACATCTTTCCAGGTCAATGTCTCCTTAAGTTCTCTATTTTGGATGCGTAGTAAATCTTTTATGGCTAATCAATGAAAATTTTGAAGTTTATATTCTTCAGATACATGTGCGCATTGCGATGAACAAAATGATGATTTGAGTACCATTATTTGTAATTTTTTTCATATATTTTGTACTTTTCTGAGGTCAGTTATGTTTATTTGTGCAAACACGCATATGATGATATTTTCCATGTAGAATAGGCTGTGTATCTATTGCCTTTGTTAGCTTAATTGGGCTCTCTATTTTTGGTTATGATGATCTAGCCATTCGATTTATATTCTCTACAATGATTCATCTACTGTCTCTTGATCAATTCATTTGAAGTTTATTTTGGCATCTTCAGTTTTTCAACCAAAACCCTACCTGTGCAGGCAATTTCCATGTCATGGAAGATCCTGTGCCTATCCATGCAATACTTAGGGGGTTTGTGCGTTGCTATTTCACTTCATGTGCTTATGTACTTCAAGAGTATTTTTAGTGATGTAATTTCAATGCGATTGTTTGAAATTATTGGATCACTTTCTTAATTCTAAATAGAAGGGAACCTAAGCACAATTTTCTATATTAGTTTGAGTTTGCTATTTTTTTTCCTAATTGTTAGTTGGATGTTGATCTATTTAATGTAGTGCATGTTGTAACTATCAATCACATTTAGGGAGAAGCCTCCTTGTATCGGCAGAGACCTATATTAAGGTTTTGGTGCTTCTCTCCGAAATCCATTTTACAATATTTTTATTTATTGCTTTGCTTGTGATTGGATTTGGTCATCCATATATTCTTAAAGTTGGCTTATCATGCTGTTATAAGTAGGACATAGTATTTATGGAAATCAACAAATAATAACGTGTTATAGTTATAACTGAAATTAGGTAAGCTTTTGTTTTAGGCAACAATAATATGACTTCTATAGGCTCATTTCTAGTTGCCAATGTTTGGTGTGAGGTATTCTTAAAGGGATTTTCAAATTTGATCAATGATTTGGATTTTATTTTTATAAGTGTTAAAATGATCCGATTCCTGAAAGGTTGAATATGCTAAATCATAACTATTGAAAATGCTCAATTATTTTGGTGAAATGTTGTTGGTAGATCTACATTGTTGATATGAAATGCAAGCTCAATGAAGAGGAATAGGAATTTAGTGAATAAAAAGACCACTTGCTTGATCATGTTAAGAATTTTAACAGGAGGATGTGTTCAAATTTTAAGGTTTAACTATCTTCTTGTTAAATAATATTCACTCTTTGATTTTTATGTTGCTATTCTTTGTAATGCCTTGTTTAAATATATAAGAAAAACAGAGCCAGCTAATACCCATTCAATTGAACCAACACTAGCTTGTTCTTTGTAGTATATAGGTGAGATGAAGACGAAGGGAGTGAAATGGATATGATGATGAAGCTAGGAGTTGACACAAACAAGCGATTTCGTTATTTAAGGGAGACGAGACAAATAGAGCGGGCTTGGCCCTTCAACCAGTGGAGAGGATCACAAACTTGCGCGTTTCGTTGGAATGAAGTAGCGTGAGACGAACAAGTCCGAGAGGGTGGATGAGCATGAAATTGTGCTATGCATCATGTGGCTGAGTGAGCATATTCAAGTGTTGACAGAGAATAGAAGATAGGGGGTTTGAAAAGTTTTCCTTTGTGAATCCGATAGGACAATTGGCGAACAAGGGCATGCGAGTCGGGATGAGCACAAGCGATGAAAGTGGAATAGAAGAGGCGAGTGAATGGGAGCCAAGACAAATGGATTGATTCCTATGTGATTGAGATTGACCATAGGAGTAGCAAGCAATAAGTAGATCTTCTCTGTGCCGGACGAGAGAAAAATTATGTTTCAAGGGGATTTAAGGTAAATCCTAAATTAGTTAAACTTTATTTATGTTTAAATGGCCGTTTAATTTTATAAATAATAATAAGAGTAAGAAGATTGAGAAGAAAATAAATGTATAATGTTAGGTATTTATTTGGAGACTTCAATGGTTAACGATGATTTATTTATGTGATTAAAAAAATAATAATTAGGATTAAAATATGAATGTTAACCTTCTCATATTGAATCTATTAAAGCTGAAAATTTAATTAATAAATTCTAAATATTTTAATAAGATGGATTTGATGAAGGATCATAATAATTGAAATTCGACAAGATGTCAAATATTACATTGAGTTTTAAGTTGGTTATAATGTTTTAATTAGTGATAAAACAAAGGGTAATTAATTTTATTTATTTATACATGCATATATATTAATTGGTTAAGATCTATAGTGCACTGACACTTTCGTACAAATAGGCATGGAGTGTTTGACATACATCAGACAGCACGTTTGAAATGCCTGTCACGTGTTCAATTAAAAAATATAAAAAAATTTAAAATGTATATGTCCAATATGTGTGTCCTTGAATATTACATTTAAATTTTATAAATAGTAATAAAATACATGGTGAAATTATTGATCTTCAAAATTCAACAGAATAATTTTATTGATATAAATAGGGGTATGATTTCTCTTATTTGAATCCAAAAATAGGAAATATAAGAAAAAAAAAACATGAAAGGAAATATATAATATATATATATTTAAAATTAATTAATTCATAATATTTACTTGAAAATAAAAGAAATGACAAAATAGGAAAGGAAATAAATCTAATCCAAGGGAATATATTTAAATTTAGAAAGGAAATAAATCCAATTCAAGAAAATAAATCTTGTCCTCATAGCATTTATAAATTTAGAAAGGAAATAAATCCAATTCAAGAAAACAAGTCTTGTCCTCATAACATTTAATAAGAATAAATTATTTCATAATAAAACTTCTAACACTGCCCTTTAAGTTGAAATATTGTTGACAATCATGTATAACTTATATTTGAAAATATCAAATAATGGGCGAGGAAGACTCTTTATGAGGTAGAACTTGAAGTTTTCATCCCATGTTTGGTAATGAACCCCAAGGGCATTTATGAATATTTTTAGTTGAATGCAATTGTCTTTGATTGCAGTTTATGCAGTATCTATAGGTAGACGAAAAGCTCCCACTGGTAATGTTGCAGGGAAGTTTGCAGGGAGTAGACAACCTACAAAAAAAAATGCAGAGATTGGTCTGCGAGGAAAAAAAACTCTAGAGTAGAGCCTACTGCAAGAAAAAACTTCGTAGGAGGGTCTGTTGCACGAAAAAGCTCCGGAGGAGGGCCTATAGCAGACAAAAACTACGGAGGATGGCCTGTTATGTGAAAAGCATGTTGTTGGGAAAAAGCTCCAGAGGTGGGGTTGTGGCAGGAAAAAGAAAAAGTTTCGGAGATAGGCATGCTACATGAAAAAGCTCCGTAGAAGGGCATGCTGCATGAAAAAGTTCCGGAGGAGGGCTCTAGAGGAGGAGTTGCTGCAGGAAAAGAAGAAAGAACATTTAACAGTGATTTTCCTTCTAGAGGTTCCAAGCTTGCACCATTGCCTGTTGAGATGGGGCTCATCTTAAAGACAAGGTTGGTTTTCGCCACCGCCAATGATGTTTGCGACACCTTTTCCACTAAGCTGGACCAATTTCTGGGCAATGGAATTTGTTCGAAAAACGAACTTCTCCAACTCAAAGACACCCATGGGCCCATTCCAGATAATGATGTTAGCGCTGCCAAGAGTTGTGTTGAATGTCTCAATTGAATCTGGTCTAATGTCATGGCTCATCCAACCGTCAGGGATAACAGATGTTTGCATAACCTTGCTATCGGTATCGACTGCAAACTTGTTTGCCATAATGGCATTAGAGGGTAACAAGAGTTTCACTCCTTTCATCTTTTCTTTCTCGATAAGAACTATTGCTAGGCCAAGTTTGTCTTCCTCAGCAAGAAAGGTACCAACACCATGTCCTTGTGCCTTGTAGAATGTAAAAATTATTCATCCTCTAAGAAGGATATCAATTTTCTCTAAGTGCAACTCCATCACCTCAATCTTTGTTGAATCCTTTGAACATCAACAATGGCAGAAAATGGCCGCTTTGGATTCGCAATAGCCCTGACAAGGTAGTCAAGTTCCTTCTACATGAGGAAGTAAGCAACAACAGTAGGTTTCATTTACTTTGTTACACCCTCTATTGTAGCATGAGTTCTGTGAGCAGTTCGAAAGGCATCATTAACATAGAAATCAACAGGAGAATCAAGTTTCTTTGCAGACTCTGGATCATTTTATCTTCTTCCTTATAGAATCTCACATCCTCGAGGAGGAAGACACTGCCATCAGGTAATGCAACGACGATTTTCTTTACTTCCTCGCCAATGGAATCATTGACCATCTTAATGTCAACTCCATGTAGTTCTGATATCTTAGGCAAGAGAGGCTTCAAGTTGTAATTCAAAGTGACAACTTTAGGGCGGCCCACATGACTGCAGAGAATGACCTTGGCTCCGTGCTCTCTCAAGTAATTGATGGTGGAACGACATCTCTAATTTTGGTATCGTCGCTGATCTTGAGGTTGTCATTGAGTGGAACATTCAGATCTATACTAACGAGCACTCTCTTCTTCTGATCTGCTCCCTTTAGATCTATACAAACTAAAAGCAGAGAATGACCTTGGCTCCGTGCTCTCTCAAGTAATTGATGGTGGAACGACATCTCTAATTTTGGTATCGTCGCTGATCTTGAGGTTGTCATTGAGTGGAACATTCAGATCTATACTAACGAGCACTCTCTTCCCCTTCTGATCTGCTCCCTTTAGATGCTCAAACTCATCTTCATTGCCATTCTTAACAAACTAAAACACAGATCCAACTGGAAGAAGATAGAGAAGTAAACAAAGGCTTGGAATGCAGGAATTTCAGTGTCGACAGGAACGAGATCCGGATGCAGCGGAAAGACTGCAGGAAGATGCGTCTCCATTGAGGAAGCCTGCAGGAATTTAGGCCGACGGAGAGGATTTCAGGCTGCATGAGGAAATTCAACTGTAAGAAATGT